GTGTGTGTGTGGTAAGAGAATTAATTTTTGAACTTATCAAGTCGGCTTTCAATTGGCAAAACCCACAGCTAACCGCTGCCCGGTAAAAGGTTACATTTCGTGCTGTCGAGTGCACTCATCATACTAACATATGGAACGGGCTTGGGCCAGGAGGAGGAGTGGGAGGAGGCGACGGAGCGTCGAGGATATGTATAAGTGCGGACATGGCTACCTTTTTATTGTTGGCAGCAAAAGCAGAGCAGCAGCTGAGCTGCCTGGCAGGTTGCATGGCAAATTTGCAGCCGAACATGCAACGTGCATTTGGCAGTCAGCACAATAACCAGATGCAGGCAATGGGTAGGGATTCTTTCGGCTGGGGCATGTAAGGGGGTAAAAGCCACAGACGCTGCCAATATTGACTGTGACTGAGCCAACGAGTTGCGCTGCTTCTTTCTTTTTTTATGTATCCTTGCAATGCGATGCGAGTATTTTTAATAAAATAAACCCAGAAATGTAATCAACATAAAGGATTTCACACAAGCGTACCATATACAATATATGTATATATACGTATGTGTGTGTGTGTGAAATGATCTCTGTGTGCGCATTGGAACGCTTAACGAGATACGTAGCTACGAGATACACGTAGATATCATTGACGATATACCCACCTACAGCCACCCACAGAGATACACTCGCTTCGACTCTGTATTGTGAAGCAGAGGAAGATAGAAATGAAAGAAGAAAAAAACCGAACCCTTTATGAAATGCTGCAAGCAGGACATCAATGCAGTCAGCTGTGTGTGTGTGTGTGTGCGTGTGTGTGTATCTTTGAGATACATTTGCAATTATCGTGACTTGAGCTTGCAGTAGCTGCCGGGCCACAGACCAGGGACAGCTGGCCACATGTCGGTGACAGTTTATTAAATCGATTACTTTCGGTTTTGATATTCTAAATAAACATATTTTTACAAGCCAGCCGGGCCAGAACTACGGGCGGACCACCCACCGTTTGATGGTCATTTTGTTGTTGTTGTACAACTATTGTTGTTGTTGTTGTTGTTGTTGTTGTTGCGGTTGTGTAGCTCGTTGATGAGCTGTTGTTGGCCAACTCGTATCTGCTGCTGAGGTTGAGATTTGCAGCTGAAAAATGTATAAATTCGTGACGGCAACAAATGCTCGTACTTGGTATCTGCTGCTAGAAGCTCCTCGTTGCACGCTCCTCCGCCTGCTATGCTCCTCGTTGGCCCCCTCCCGCACCCCACCTTGCTGGCCATTGTGCGGAGCCAGACATGCGATGTGGACGTAGCCAGTACAACGTTTTGAGAGATTAGTTTATTGTTAATCAAAAAAGAAGGCAAAAATATCGTTTTTGCATTAAATTGACTTTGAAATTGACAGCGTTTGAAATTACGAGCTTGTGTATCTGGCAAATGCATTCAAATTGCTCGTGACTTATTCTCTCTGTGTGTGTGTGTGTGTGTGTGTGTGTGTGTCGTCTGTGTTGGCAAGTGGCGTGTGGGGGTTGTGGCAGGTGTTTTGTGGCTAGAATAGCTTTCACGTTTATGCATAATTCTAATCAATGTTTGTTACTGATTTTGACATTTGCTTTTTGCCCAAATTGGCCAAAAGTTGTTGCTGTTGCCAATTTTGTTGTCATTCGGGCCATTCAAGGGCTGTAAATTGATTTCGTTCATGCTTTAAACACACCAACAATTTCAAGCTTACCATTTGCAATGCAAATACAGTTGACATATTTATATAATCATAGCGCTAATTTGGCCCATTGTTTGCGTATCAAATATGAATTTTAATTAATCGTATGTCTCAGATCTCAACGATTTAATCACTGAAAACTTAATCATAAACATAAGTTTGCATAGCCTTGAAAAGTCTCTTATTGTTTGCAAAACCAGAGGCTGGATAATTTGAAGCAAAAGGCATTCGGTTAATTTTAGAAATTTGAGCTGAAGAGCATTTAAGTCTGAACATTTCACAATTAGCAGGGTCTTTTTAGTTACCTTCAGCTTATGGCTTAAGATTCACAACATGCTTCAAACTTAGCGCTTCGTATCTCCTTCTATAATATCCGTGCAAAATATCTAGTTGTCTAGATTTTGGCTCCCATGGCGATTTCTCGGCCCGTCAGAGCTTCCACATTTTATAACTCCTAGTGCTCGATATGAACATCAGCGGAGCTGCGCAGACGCCATCGATAGCTGACCGTTGGGCGCTGTGATTAACACAATTCCCTTCTCCGAATAGCCACATGGGGCGCAGACTCTGGCGCAGGCGGACACACGGACGGCAGGCCAACTACCAGAATGAAGCTGAATTTAGAGGGGCGCCGCCGAGCGTCCGATGGTGCATGGATCATTGCATGTGGGGCTGGTGATGGCGTCGTCGTCGTCGTCGATTGCGTGCACATGATGTGGGCAGGCGCATCTTCCATGTAGCTGCCCAGGCAGCTGCTGTTGCTGCTGATGTGCATTTGATGATGGCAGTTGTTGCTGCGTGGCCGCAAAAACGCTTCTGGGTTGAGAGCGACAACAACAACAACAACAATAATGGCAATGAGTACAAAAATTGAATTTACAAGCGCACAAACTAGAAAACAGCACGTTCAACATACAAAAACGATGCGATGCAATAATTTAAGAGTTTTTTGAATAATTGCCCGGCAGCAACAGCAGCAACATGCACCAATGCCTCTTGTTGCTGCCGGCTAATCAGCAACACACACACACACAAGCACATCCTGACACACTTTGGCCACATGCAACATTTTGAGGCACAATGAAAGTAAGAGCAACGACAACTAACTCATGAAGACGCCGAAGACGGCGACGGCGACAGCAGTCCCCATAAATTGTCAAGTTTAATGCGACACATCGAAGAAACGAACTCAGGTCTGTGGCTTCACTGTCCAGCAGAATTGCATGTTCATCATAAAAATGAACCTCAATGCAAAAGCAAACTTCAGACAAAGACAAACAAACAAATCCCAGTTGTTGCTGCTGCTGTTGCTGGCGTGGAAAGAGCAACAGCTGTTGCCCCACAGCGGCAATAATTGCCCTGAGCAGAGCAAGTATGTCTGTACATGTTGCTGAAGAGAAATGGATACAGAGAGAATTACTTACAGGATTAAGAAACTGGGATAAGGTTCTGGTATATATGCTGATGAGGAGATATAACCTAGGACTGATATACAGAGCAGATATGTGTCTTATTAGCGATTTTGACAAATCCACACGCAAGTGTGGAAAATTCGCGGAAAACGGTTGCATGATACATTTTTTTGCGTACTATCCGATTATACTAGTTTTCAAAAATCTTTGTGCAAATTTATTTGAGCGGCTTTTCACACTTTTCGGAAAACTCACCTCACCTTGGTGGAAAGTGGTGCTTAAAGATCAGGTGGGCGGAACTCATTACTAAAAATCTTGGTTTTAAACTTATTTTCAAGGCTGCTTGATAAAAAATATGTGAATCACACGATTAATTACATTCTAACAATTTAAGAATACCCATTTAATTATATCAAGTGCTGGGAAGAGGCAATCACATAAGTAAAGCTCGTGCTTGGCTTTGTCTCATTTGCCAAGTCAGTGGAAATCAATTTGGTTGCAAATACGAATTTGAATAAGAGTACGGGTACGGGTACGAGTACGACTACGAGTACTCGCACTTGCAATTGCATATTCATGTGGGTGGCAGTGGCACAGCCCCGTCCACGTGCCTCTGGCAACATGTGTGTTGCATATGTCTATGTGCATGTGTGTGTGTGTGTGTGTGTGTGTGTGTGTGTGTGTGTGTGTGTGTGTGTGTGTGTGTGTGTGTGTATCTTGTATCAATTCAACGCCTAATTGATTGTGCTTGCAATTGTCTGGGGGCCCCGACTGGGAGGAATGTCAATGCTAATAATCGCCATGTAAATTGACTATGAATTTCAAATTGTCTGCTCAAAAGTGTTTTGGATACATTTAAATGGCTCGTGCCCGGCTGCAACGAGCTAAGCTGATTGATGCATTGCCCCCTCACCTCACCCCACTGTGTGCAACTGATTCCACCCAATTCACAGCTAACTGGAGCATTATTTTAATCCATCAATAAATTGGCGACATCCAAGCGACATTTATGAACTGTTGTCGTCGCGTCGTTGGCCTTGGCTGGAATCAAACCCACCTGGACAGGTGGACATTGCTCTTTCAGCTCTACTTGCCCCCCTTTTGTGTGTTTCGCTTGTCGTCCAATTGATCGTGTGTCCACTCTTGTCATCCGATCTCCGTGGCTGTCCGCTGTGCACTTTTCTCATGGTGCCAAAGTCCTAAATTATTGCCGGACTGGTTTGCGTTAAATAATGATGCCTGTCAAAGCCAACTGACAGCTGAGCTAATAATTGCTTGATTACTTGAGCTCTAAACGAGCTGCATTCAAGTCAACGACGAAAAGAGTATGTAGGAAAGTTAGAAAAACTTGGCTGAAAAATACAGCTGTCGATACTGATATGCATATCTTTTTGTTTACTTAAAAAGCATAATTAACTAAATACATCAATTTCACTTTAGTGTTAACATTTCGAATTATTCGCACACAACAACGCTTTTTGACAAGTATTGCCTTACTATGCGATTCTCATGAATTTGAATAAGCCTTGCAGTCTACAAAGAAAAGAGTGTGCGGTAAATTTTGTGTTAGAGTTAAGCTTGGTTGACAACTTTACAGCTTTTATGCTGTTATGAATGTCGTTTAATCTCGTTAAACAGAAATAAACAAATACATCGATTTCACTTTATATTAAACATTGTTACTTTTCGCACGAAATCAAGTTTACTTTTTTGATAGCTCACTCCGCTGCGAAGATAGTTATAAAGAGAAACTGATTTTTAAGTATCGCCTTACTATGCGATTCTCACTAATTCGAGTAATCGTCCAGGTTTTCATACCTCAACTTTATCTATTCATTTTGAAAGACAGTTTAATATCCCAATTTATCTAATGTTTATTCCACACCTTAACAGGTCCAGTCTTGGAACAATTTTGGATCAAGTTGTATAAAGGAAGACGTTATCTTCTTTAATCACACGCTGTGACAAGGTTAAATAACAGCCATTGAATTCGTAGCAGCGCATAAATTGAAATTCGCCCAATTTAATTTCAACTCGAGACATTTAATATTGATTAATTTTTTGGTTCGCTCTCTTAATAGCCTCGCATCTACACTCGCTGGCTTGCCGCAGAGTGATGGACAGATACAGATGCAGATACAGAAACAGATACAGATACAGATACTAACAGATACATGTGCTCAAGAAGCAGAGGACCAAGACCCAGGCGAATCGTACCGTAAATAAATATAAGCATAAATCTGAGAGAGAAGAAGAAGAAGAAGAAAAGAAGAAACTCATTGAAGACAACATCCCCAATTGACGGTAAATCACTCAAGATGACATCTATCGATGGGGCCCGCCAGATAAGAGAGCGTTTCGTCTCGTTTTCGCACTTTTACACAATCAACTCGGGCACGTCGAAGACACCGCGCAGAAGTTGCAAACAAACACCACAGAGCCAGAGCCACACAGAGTGACGCGTCCGGGGTCCTCACAGGGGATTGGGATTGGTAATGGGAACGGGAACGGGAATGGGCACGAAAATGGGAATGGGAATGGGACAGCCGACATAATCATGTAGCATGCCAACTTGACGTCATTGCAATTTAAAGCTAGGCTACGCCGTCGGGCGCATTCGATACAAAACGACGCCAACAGCCCCCAAAGTGACAAATCAAAGACGAAATCGAACCACCCAACAAAGTACAAGAAACCAACTATGTATTACTACCATTCCATGCCAGGCCCAGAGACCAGGCTAACTTGAAGCAGTCCAATGACAAACTCGCACAGACTTTGTGGTCTTACTTTGATACGGCACAGTGGAGCAAATATGGGATTGAGTAGCTAAAAATTCGAATCGCCCAAATATGGATTGTCTATTTATGTGAACCTGTATAACAAGATCTATATTTATTTGTGCGTCCCACTTGGAAAATTGAACAAATGATAAAAGCAATTGAAGAAGTTTTGGATAGGTTTGGAAAAAATCGGTGAGTTTTTAGAAATTACATATTATTTTGTCTATTTCTATTACTTAAAACCATTACATTTGGGCGGATATCTTCATTTAACAACATTTAATGCTTTAGAACTAAAGATAGCCATAAATCTAATCAGATAATATTTTGATAAGTTTAAATATATATACATATATGATAGATATATAAATATAGATTCCATCGCCTTGAAACTAAAATTATCTTATATCGATTTTAATCAGAGATATGTTACGGATATATATATATATATATTAAAGGCGAGATTATATATATATATATATATATATATATAATCTCGCCTTTAATAGTGAGTAGTAATTAGTTAAATAAACCAAATATAGGATTGTTAGGCATGAAAAACTGCGTTAAACCTACTTCGAAAAGCTTAACCGGAATTGATGAGTATGACCTTATACACATTTACATTTGGCTAAAATATGACTTTTAAAAAACACAATCTGGAGTTTGGACTTTTCATCAACTTATCTGTGCAGTTTGGCTCGAGTCTGTAAATGTCTGTAAATGTCTTGAATTTAAGTTCGCATTCCACTGTGCCTGAGACAGTAGTCGGTCAATGAGCGTAGGAGAATACGAGACTGCAACGAAATGAGTGATTTATTGGCAGCCCATTGAATTGAAGTTGATGGCACAAGACAAGACAAGAGGAGGCGCAAGAAAGAGACAGAGACGGAGACGGAGAGAGAGCGAAACAACTTGGGCTTGGCTACAAATGAGAGACAAGGACATGGAGTAGCCAAGAGTGAGCAGTGAATAAGATGTGTAAGCGTTGACAGACAGACTGGCGGACTGACGGACTGGCTGACTGACAAACTGGCAGTGAACAGCAGCGACGCCATTGTCGCCCCCTTAAATCCCCCCTCCTCTCCCCTGCAGCACATGTGAAACGTTCCAAAAATTAAATGTGGCAAAGTGGTTGGCAGGCAGACGAGAAGGGGCTTGGGCTGTGTGGAAACGGAAGAACAGTTCGATAAGCGTAAAATGAAGGCAAAAGGCGTCTAGTGGTTGTAGTTGTTGTTGTTGTTGGCTGGACTGTGATATATCACACGCAACATTAAATCAAACCCAAGAAATTGCCGGGCCCAAGACATGGAAGGTGTGCGAGGCCGAGTAAATGATGGCCGGGATTCCTTTTAGCTGGCAACTGCGACTCACATCGCCTGTCACATTGACAATTTACAACAAAAAAAAAAAAACAGGAGAGTAGAGAAAGAGGCTGGCAGTGTAAGAGAGACAACGATAGTCATTGTTGGCTCGCACTTATCTGATGGATTCCTTGCTATTTTTCTTCACATGTTGTCCTCGACGTCGTCATCGTCTCCGACCCCGTCTTCGTCTTCGTCTCCATCCCCATCGTTGCCGGGGCGTTGAGCACAGTAACGAACTTTCCGTGTTGTGCAATTTGAAAGCTCAGCAGTATTGAAACAGCAGCGTTGGGGTGTGGGGGGGGGGTTTGGCTTGGGCTAAGGGTTGGGGAACAGCACTAAAGAGTGAACGAGACCATGAATAATATTTATGAGGATGAAATGTTCCCAAAAGCGACATAAATATGTCCACAGCACCCGCACATGAAACGCGCCTCAGCATAAAATGCGTTGAAATGCTGAGCAGCATCAATGGAAAGAGAGGGGGAGGGAGAGAGAGAGAGAGAGAGAGAGAGAGAGAGAGAGAGAGGGAGGGAGAGAGTGATAGGGAGAGTAGAAGATAGGGGTGGTGTTTGGGTATATGTGCTTTGTGGCTGTAACCGAGTTGTAGGAGCAACGGCAAAGAACTAAGCACTGTCTTATAACAGTCAGGAGTTTATTTATGTTATTATTATTATATCTGAATAAAATATTTCCTCGGCTTGCTACTAGTACAAAATGATCTCCACTAGTACTAAATATTAGTCAGCAAATCAGCTTGGTATTAGGTTTAACTTGGATATCATCATATCAGAGATATCGATAATCTTTGATAATTAAAAATCCTGGTTAAAAGACTTTTAGATAAAATTAATATTATTTATTTTGAACAAATTCGTTAAAGGTTGTCTGTATTATCTCAAGATTTGAAAAAATTACGAGTTCTTAGAATTCCTCAAGCTGGAATTAAAAGAGTTTACGTTTAGCCAATATAAAACAATATTCTTTTAGATGAATGGGTATTTTGACCTTTTTCATGAAATACATATGCTTTAAATTCGCTTAAGGTACTCTGTCCTTTCTCCTTAGCTTATCCCAGACAACAGATGTTAATAGGTTAATAGGCGTCCGTATTATTAACGATTATTGTCGAGGCTCAACTGTGTATTATATCAATATTGGATATGCATCTGTCGACTGATCTAAAGCATAAGTATCTATTGCATTAAACTTTCCTTAAAGGTAAGCCCTATACCTTCTGCTTCCCAAAAGAAATTACAAGTAATTAGAATTCATCATATTGGAATTACAATAGTTCACATATAAACAAGATATAAAAGAGTTATAAGATCAACCACTCAGTATTTCAGGTAATAAGTATATGCCTGTATATATGTATGTCGAATTTAATCGAGATTCAACTGTGTATTAGCTATATATACATGTATATATTGCATGATCTATGGCATATATATTGCATAAAATTTTCTCAAAGGAAACCCCTTTAAGCATATACCTTAAGCTTTCTACAAGCCTTTATAGCATCGACTAATTTTGATTTTCCAGATACTATAAGTACTAAGACTACCTGAAATTGTAATGTCCGATAGACAACCATTAGGCGCTGTAATCCAATTCAATACAAATTTATTGAAGAGCAGACATTTTTTTTGGCATGCGCCCATGACAGACAGAAATCAATCAAATTTAAGGGTTGATTTCCGAAGCAGGCATCTGAAACTGTGAAGCGAGAGCAACCCTCAACAAAAACAGTTGATGGATTGCTGTCATTAGCATCCGAGCTGAGGCGCTGCACGCCTACAGTAAGGACTGGCCAATGATGAACAAGGTCTGGGCTAAGCCGCAAAAGGGATGAGCTAAGATGGCAGCGCTCAAGAGCAGGAAATGCGGCATTAAAATACTAACTTAAAGCGACCGCATGCAAATGACTAATTCGTTAATTGAAATGCCAATCAAGAGGGTAAAATAAATGCAAGAAAAAAATAAAAATAAAGAAAAAAAACTGTTCAGTTTTAGCCGCATCATGTCAGAGATTGATAGCCGGTAGCCGCGGACTTGATGTTAAAAATTGAAAGCCGCCGCGTAGCTGTTGCGTGAAAGGAAAAATTGGCCGTCCGGTTGGCCCAGTGTCTCCGGCAGTGTTTGTGTATGCGAACTCATTAGGCAGCAAACGTAAATCATTTCGATATCGATTAAGAAATATCCACCGAAAGCGGCCACCGCACGCAACGCCATCCGGCATTGGCGCCTGCGCAGCTGCCGTTGCAGCTCAGCAGCTCGGCAGCTCTGCAGCTCCTACTCCCGGCCAGGTCTCGTTTGGCCAGCTCGTGCGGCGACAGTGTGCACATCAATTAATGAACCTGTCGCGCCATGCGTAAATTTGTCGCCAGCGGAGCGCGGTGCGAGCCCAGAGAATGCAGCTGCCCTCGCCCCAACCCCAACCCCCGACATTCTGGACCAGCTCAAACTCAGGCGAGTGCAGCTGGCGGCGATCTTGTGCATGGCTGTGGCACCGGGCACTGGGCTTCAACTTGACCTGCTTGTCAATCAAGCAAATCATTTTGGCGGCATTGGAATTCACTTGGTTTTCACATGACTGTGCACACCTGTCATAATCAATCACATCTCGCTGCGATTATAATGCATCAATTATCGGCCAAACTGGGCGCGTGTGAACATTCGCTACTGCCCCAGCCCCCTCCTCCCTTGGGCAGGGGGGGCAAGACTCGACTTATCTATATATGTATGTACATATATGCATATTGATGGACATGACTGTAAGCTTCGATGTCTGGGGCAAGAGAGACTGAATTGATATTGATATTGAATATCCGGTTGCGGCCACAGCAATAGCCTTGAATGTTAAGCATTTAATTAGCTAATTGACTAATATTTTCCTGACAGATTAAGGCAAATGCTTTGAGACAACATTATGGATTGCCTCTTGATTGATCTCAATCCTAACTCAACTTTATTGTTATTATTAAAAGCAAACGGAAGATAAATAACTTTATGAAATATACTATACTAAATATATGTCCTTCTTTTAAATTGGATTTATTTTAGATTAAATTATCATTTGCATATAAATATCCCCTTGAGCCCTATTCTCCCAATGGGTTAATCTGTCAAATATATTTCTCTAACCATGAAACGTAAAAGATGCTTGTGTAAGAGCTGCTTTAAGTTAGCCTGGGACTCTTTTAACCTAGAATGCTAGACCTTTAGATACCCTATACTTAGTTATTTCAAACTATACAAAGGTCAAAACTATACAAATTTAACTTTAAGCAAACACACCCTTAACTCCTTTAGGAGTGTTAGACTGAAATACACCCTGTACTCAGGCTTAATTTCTATACCTAACTTAACCTATCTATCTCTAAAGGTATAACGGGATATATAGCTAGATAAACTTGGCTTTTAAGCTAAGGCTCACATAAGCAGCCTGTTGCAATCGTAACCCCATTCGAAATGCCTTCTTGTCACGCATTTCTAATGGGTATGGGGGTATAAGAAAACTTGAATTAATATCTCAATTAAAAAGTGTCAGACCCGTCTAGTACTTCAATTACGGGCACAATTCATGAATGAATGCGAAGACCTTTGCTTGGCGCACGCAGACGCTGAAACTTCCGACTTTAATGAATGGCGGCGAATGAGATGTGACTACGCGTATGTCATAGCCAGATGGGCAGAGGGGTGCCGTTAGGGGAGGGAGCGGTAGGTTCTATGGAGTGGATCAACTGGGTCACACTGTCTAGCAGTTGCGCTCCAAAATGCGTAAATATGCGAAATATAGTGTGTATGTGTGTGTGTGTGTGCCTG